TATTATTATTATTATTATTATTATTGTTATTATTATTATTATTATTATTATTATTATTATTGTTGTTATTGTTATTATTATTATTATTATTATTATTATTGTTGTTGTTGTTGTTGTTGTTGTTATTATTATTATTATTATTATTATGGTTATTGTTATTATTATTATGATTATTATTATTGTTGTTGTTATTATTATGTTATTATTATTATTATTGTTATTATTATTATTATTATTATTATTGTTGTTGTTGTTGTTGTTATTGTTATTATTATTATGGTTATTGTTGTTATTATTATTATTATTATTATTATTATTATGGTTATTATGGTTATTATTATTATTATTATTATTGTTATTATTATTATTGTTGTTATTATTAAAGTTGTTTTGGGGCAGATTTTCAAGGACAGGACTGAACAGGTGGGGAGAGTTACAATGAACCAACAGATTACTTCCTGAACTTGTGTCTCTGATTTGCACTAAAATAACAGTAAGAATCTTTTCACAGGAAACTATAAAAACTATAAAAAGCAGCTGTGCTCTCCATGTTTACAGATGTTCTAAGACCATAAAAAAATATCTGGAGCGATCAGAACCACTTTTGAACAAAGGCGACTGTCACATTCTTAAATAGTTATTCAACAATATACTGCACCACATGAGGTTACATGGCATACCAGCATGAAGAAAACACAAGGAATCTCCATAATTCATCTGAATAGACAAATTATGGATTGCACTTCAGGTAAGCTAAGGACAGCACTGAACACAAAGCAGGGAACTAAAGCATGCAGCTTACTAAAGTCTGTGCACAGAGGATGCCACAATCACTTCAGTAGCATCATCTGAGGCCTGTCATAACTTCAGTTTAAATAGTTCTTTTAGGAAAATAAACACATTTATAACACAGATTTAAAGGCTTGGATTATATTCTTAAAGTTCATTGGACTTCTTCAATAACAACAAAAAAAGTCTTGTTTTCTCTGCTGCTCGGTCACTGACTATTTGCTGAAGGAGACTCATGAAAGCTGTTTAAACACAAAAAGTGTTCAGTTTTTGTTCATAAAACAATTGTCCCCCCAGCAGATTATATTTATTCCCATGCATCATCACAGGTGACTTGTGTTCTCTCGCGGCTCATGGAGAAACAGACTGAGTGCATGTTAATATCACATTACTTATGAAATACGAGGTTGAAACCTGTTCACCATTACGACTCCCACTCCTGCTCTTCTTCTCCGTGTGTGTTCAGGAAATATGTGTCGTTGTTGCAGCGGAACAGGATGTAAATAAATGTTTGAGTGGAGCTCCCAGGAGAAGGCAGGAGAGAGATGTGGTGACTTCAGCATGCAATGGTTTTAAGCTTTGTTTAAGAGCAGCTAGAAGAGCTCAGTGCATCGTTGGTAAAGAAAATCTTTGACCTCAAGAGCACGGCGGCTGAGAGCACCGCCATGCCAGAGACACACACACACACCACACAGTGAAATGGGAGGGATTTTACCTTCAGCGTCCTTAACTGTCTCGATAGCTTCTATGGCCTCAATGGTAGCTGAAGGGTGGCAAAAGATAAGAGAGAAAGAACGACAGGAAGAGAGAGAAGACAGAGTCCGAAAGAGATGATGCACAAGAAAAGAAGGAGGAGAAGGAAAACGAAGTGAAGGCTGAAACATGCTTCTGTGCAGATATGCATAACATCTTTGCCTCAGGGAACAAAGGAACGTCTTGATGCTGATTTCACTTCTCAAACAAACATCTTTTGGGTAAAAAAGCCGGTGCTTGAACTGAGCTAACACCAAACAGGAAGTTAGCCATTTCCAGTACAGCTGAAAAAAGCTGTTAAGCTAAAACTGACCTTTTTGTTGTAAAATTTGCCAACTGGTAAAACGTTCAAGCACCCAGAGAGGTCCAAACTAAACCAAACTTTGCCAGTGTCTGCATTAAGATAGACAAAAGTGCTGGTCCCGCGACAGGCCCGAAACTAAACACTGATCCAGAACAGTGGAACAGCTGGTGTTTCCTCTCCTGCTGCAAGTCGGCCCGCAGCTGTTGGAACTGGACCTCGAGCTCTGACACATCAGCACTGACACAGCTGACATCTGCTGACGACTGACTGAAGAAAGGATCAGGAACCTGGAGACCATGAGAGGACCTCAGCATGATGCAGACAGTCTGTAGACACACGGCTCACTGTGGACGATGTTGACAGACAGTACCAGAGTGCGTTCTCTGGAGGGGGGGTACATATACCACTGCTGACCCAACACGTGAGATAAAGTCTAGTGGGGCAGCGGGCAGCTATTTAAGCACCCGGGGAGCAGTAAGGAAATAAGGGTCTTTATAGCCACGGTCATCTGTGGTCAGGCAGAACCTTTGCTCACCTGTCATCATCAACTTAAACCTTCTAGTTACAGTATCACTACAAACACAGCCATCTCTGCTCTATTAATGGCAGCCTAAACATGGGACAGTGAGAATGACACGGGTTGTTGTTGCACCCTGTGTCATCCCAACACAGGTCCAGTAGCTGTGTCTGGATGGCAGACACAAACGTCATGGGGTTCTGTAAGCCTTGACACACAGAACAACTTTCCAAGCTGGATACGGTCTGTTTTAGGTGGTTGGAACCTTCACGATCTGCCTTCATGTACTTGTTGGTTCCAACATGGGGTCACTGTGACATCTTTACATGAGGCATGTTGGGTAGTTGCACAATGCACCTGTTCCTAATGCAAACCCACAATGTGGCCCCATCAAACACCAACAGGCGCTGGTAATACTAAAAGGCCTTTTTTGTGTCTGCTGGTCTTCATCCACTGTTCTGACTGACTGCCAGATGCTCTGACAACTGCCTGATAACACTGTCGCTCCACTTGTGATGCCACCACTTACACCCTCTGGTGCCTGTTCCTATGGGCCAGCTCTTGCACATCAATTCATTCACATGTCACCAGTCTGTGTGTGGACCAAATTACACCCAAACCAGATCATTCTTTTAGAGTGATTAAAGAGGTTTTATCAATGCAAATATTAAAGGAACATTCAAAAACATGAAAGAAGGCAAGACAAAAGACTAACCCTCAACATCCATATGGGAGCTTTCAATCCGGATCTAAACTCTACGAACTGAAGGCAGAAATCCAAGTATAAAGTTGTGAAGTCAGGCTCAGGGGCATGTTTCAGGCTTTGAACATGTAAAGCCCTCAGAGCGTCTCTGAGGCAGCATCGGGGGCGTTTGGTGTTAGCAGCAGCCCGTGTTAGTCCTCTTGCTTTTCTTTCTAACATGCATGCACACAATATAGATGTAAGTCCTCCCAGGGTTCTGAACATTTTTAATAACACTGCTACCTACGCTCTGTGATTTCCTGACTCGCTCTTGCACTCACGTACACAAACACAACCAGCGGCAGGCTGTTAGTATCCTTGGTGCTGGTGAGGTGAGGTGGAGCGAGGTGAGCGAGGTTAAAGGATGAGAGGAGGAAAACAGCAGCCGGAGGATGACCCGGAGCGCTTTAACCGTCTCTGTGCTCTGGTGCCAATTTCCCTCTGAGATATCTGTTTCTGTAGGTGTGCTTTAAGGGGGAAAACTGGAGAAAGTGTTTGTGCATGCGTGTGAAACACTTACCGCTCTGCAGAGTCTGTTTGCCCCCAGATAGCACTCCACTGGGCAGCATGCCTGTAGGAGTCAGACCCTTCAGGGTCAAGACATTCTCACTCTCCTCTCTGAGAGACGCAGACACAGCGAGTGTTTGTGGCAGGGTGGCAGATGTGAGTGGGTTAAAAGAGAAACAGAGAGCAGGTGGTAAGGAGAGATTTTCAGAGGATTACACACTTCCCTACACGGCACACCTGCAAACACACAAACACATGCTTGTAGATTTAAACACCAGAGCTCAGAGGCAGGTGAGAAAGAAAAGAGAGGATCTGGTGACAACTTCTTTAAAAGTAAAAAAGAAACATCTACACACACACCATCCATCCATACACACACACATGAACAAATCCAGTATAAATATAAACGAGTGGAACTCAACCCACCGTAGGACAGAGAACATTTTGGCCATCTTCCCGATGGCACGGATTTTGTTTTTGATCACTTCTTTCCTTGCTGCTGCTGCATTGGCTGTAACAGAACCAGGGACATAAAAAAAGATTGATTCATTTTAGAAATCCAAGTGAGTGTTTGTGTTGAAATCAAGAACTGGGGTCATGATTATCAGTAGTTTGGTCACAGCAGAAAACTGTTTGGAACCAGAATATCTATATATGTGGAAATATGCTCGTTGTGCCTGGTCTAACAAACAGTGGACCACATTTTGAGTCATTTCAAAGAAGGGAGAACCTAACCTAACTCTGATTGAGCCATCTCTACCAATCAGTTAAAGTATGTAATGCTAAAAAGATCCACCAGATGGCACTGTGACAGTAAAAGGTAGGTTTGTCATTCCCTCCTCCAACCAGGAAGTCAAAAACCAGGACATCAAGTATGGCGTCAAGACTGTTTTTGTGTAAACTTTGAAAAGTTTGGATACTTATACAAAGTACATATACATATTTTGGTGATAAAGGCCTTAGTAAAAATAAATATGACCCTTGACGCAGCACAAAAACTTTGTTTAATATTTTTTAAATGTGCTTGCCCAAACGGTTGATTTGTCAATTCATGGTATGGGTAGCAAATTTAAGCTAATGTAATTGAAATTGATAACTTGCTATAAAATCAACTTACTGGAACCATCTAGTTGATCTATTTCTGTAAATATAACTATTTAAGTGTTAGTACATCATGAATATGCTGAAGGAATTTTCCTACTCCTTACTTTTGATGCTTTATAAGTTTAACTATGTTACTATAATGAAAAATAAAGAAAAACGTAGAAATAATCTAGAGGGGATCTAGAGTTCTAGAGGAACGGCCCCCCTGATCTGAACCAGAGTGGTGTTCTGTTGCTGGACTTCTGTGCTCGTCATGGATTGTCCATAACGAACACCATGTTCAAGCATAAGGGTGTCCATATGTGCTCTTGGCACCAGGACACCCTAGGCTGCATTTCGATGATCGACTTTGTCATTGTCTCATCTGATCTGCTGCCACATGTCTTGGACACTCGGGTGAAGAGAGGGGCAGAGCTGTCCACTGATCACTACCTGGTGCTGAGTTGGCTCCGATGGTGGGGGAGGATGCCGGTCAGACCTGCAAACCCAAACGTATTGTGAGGGTTTGCTGGGAATGTCTGGCAGAGTCTCCTGTGAGACGGAGCTTTAACTCCCACCTCCGGGAGAACTTTGAACATGTTCCGGGGGAGGTGGGGGACATTGAGTCCGAGTGGGCCATGTTCCGTGCCTCTATTGTCGAGGCGGCATACCGGAGCCGCGGCCGCAAAGTTGTCGGTGCTTGTCATGGCGGCAACCCTCGAACCTGATGGTGGACACCGTCGGTGAGGGATGCTGTCAGGCTGAAGAAGGAGTCCTATCAGGTCTTTTTGGCCTGTGGGACCCCGGAAGCAGCTGATGGGTACTGGCAGTCCAAGCGACATGCGGCTCGGGTGGTCGCTGAGGCAAAAACTCAGGCATGGGAGGAGTTTGGAGAGGCCATGGAGAATGACTTCCGCATGGCTTCGAGGCGATTCTGGTCCACCATCCGGCGTCTCCGTGGGGGGAAGCGGTATACCACCAACACTGTTTATAGTGGGGGTGGTGTGCAGCCGAGTGCGACACGGCCGGGATGAGGATCAGTTCCTTCAAATCTGAGTCCATGGTCTTGAGCCGGAAAAGGGTAGAGTGCCCTCTCCGGGTCAGGGAGGAGGTCCTGCCCCAAGTGGAGGAGTTCAAGTATCTTGGGGTCTTGTTCACAAATGAGGGAAAAATGGAACGTGAGATCGATAGGCGGATAGGTGCAGCGTCTGCAGTGAAGCAGGCGCTGTACAGGTCTGTCGTGGTGAAGAGAGAGCTGAGTCAAAAGGCAAAGCTCTCAATTTACCGATAGATCTACGTTCCTACCCTCATTTATGGTCATGAGCTTTGGGTTTTGACCAAAAGAACGAGATCTCGGATGCAAGTGGCCAAAATGAGTTTTCTCCGCAGGGTGTCTGGGCTCTCCCTTAGAGATAGGGTGAGAAGCTCAATCATCCGGGAGGGACTCAGAGTAGAGCCGCTGCTTCTCCACGTTGAGAGGAGCCAGTTGAGGTGGCTCAGGCATCTGTTTAGGATGCCTCCTGTACGCCTCCCTGGTGAGGTGTTCCGGAAACGTCCCACCAGGAAGAGACCCAGAGGAAGACCCAGGACACGCTGGAGGGAACGCCTCAGGATTCCCCCGGAGGAGCTGGACCAAGTGGCTGGGGAGAGGGAAGTCTGGGCCTCACTATTTAGGCTGCTACCCCCACGACCCGACCCCGAATAAGCGGAAGAAAATGGATGGATGGATGGATGGTAGAAATAATCTCAATACTATTTTAATGAAATAAAACTAGCTGGTCTACTTTTACTACAAGCTCAGGTATATGTTGCTAATTATAATTTCATTTTTTAGCAAGTTTCACAAAATGGACATTAAAGTGTTGAGTAAGGGTATGTTAAAGAAAAACTCGATTGTTGTCATCAGTCACCCAAGGAGATAAGAAATGAAAAAAATATATATTTTCCATAGTTTGTCTTGGTGAGGTAGTTAAAGGGTTAAAGACAATGACTAAAGGTTAAAGATTCTTGTTTCCTGTTTTTGCCTCAAAGATAAGTGGAGAAATAAAAAAGACAAACGAGATCTCTCAAGCTCTGTGGTGGCCATCTTGATTGAGGGCGACTAAAATTTAATCTGTTGATCACCAAATTATTACATTTTGAGTGTATTATTTACATTTGTGAAGTGATTCGTCAAATGTTTTGCTAACACACTTACACTCGCAGTAACAAGCAAAACCATTATCAGCAGGGGACCATAATTAGTGTCATGATGTTACTCTCAGAGAGATATCTAAACAGCTAGCACGTCTGAACTGTGTAAAATATGATCATGAAAATAAACTTTCTTCAGCAGATCATCTTTGAGTTCTTTGTTTAATAATGAAGTGAATAACCAGGAACATTTGCTCTGCCATGGAGCTACAGTCAAAGCAGCAGATGAGTGTTTCTCACCGTCGTAAATCTCATCTCCGTCATTCATGAGCTCATCGTCGGAGCAGATACTCAGGACGTTGACCAACATTTCAGTCACTGTCACAGAAAAACACAAAAATTATGGAAAACTCTGATCATTCTCCTACAGTTCTGTAGAGTTGTTGGGGGTGTGGGGGTACACATATACCACGGTTCAGTATGTGCCCTCAGTTAAGGGGTAAAACTGTCTGGTGGTGTTGGTGCTGTTTTTATTTTCGTTTCATTTAATCACAGTAACCTCTTAAATCATAAAGAGAAACACATACTTCATATAGTATTGTCCTATTTATCCAACTGGAGCTGTAGTCAATGTCCTTCAGGCTATGTGTAAAAAGGTTGATAATCTCTACCTAATATATTACAAGATGAGTGTTTGTTTCAATTGATTTGACCTGAAGTTGATGCAAAAGAAAAAGGCAATTATAAATGAATAATGTCTCAAAATAACAAACAGTGTGGTACGCTGATGTCTCCCGATGCAGAAAGATCAGATGGTGAATGTTTGTTATTTTCAACATGAGTGTTTTCCTGGACTGGAATAGAACAAGGAATGCAAGTAAACCTTAATGTGTCCTTAATGTCTTAACCTCATGTTTTTGCTGATGCTCAATGTTTTTATGTTATAAGTGCTTAGTGTATATTTAGTTGATGTTTTTCTTAGTCCACATCTTAGATGTTATTACAGTTTTTTTTTTTATATATTTTATTGTTGGATGTAACTGGGACCCTGTGTACATAATTTTGCTCCACCACATGTACCACATGAGGTGCGAATGAAAATAAAGAATCTCTGACTCTGACTCTGATGTGTGCAAGTGCAAGGTATTCAAGTGGGTAGGAGTTATACTGTGGAAAAGAATAGAAGTAGATTTTTTTATTTATTAATTTTTTATTATTATTATTGCTTGGCTAAAGCAAAGGCCACCATTGGCCACTCCAATCATTTAAAGAAACTGTAGTTTTAAGCAATTTAAAACTAGCAAGCATAGTTTTCTCAAATCACAGGAAGGACAGATGTGGATTTTCCCAAGGGAATGGAAATGGCCCTAGTCAATACCTGTTTCCAAAAGAGGGAGAAACATAGAGTGACCTATAAGAGTGGAGGAAGGAGTACGCAGGTCGACTACATTCTGTGTAGAAGAGGAAACCTGAGGGAGATTGGAGACTGTAAGGTTGTGGCAGGGGAGAGCGTGGCCAGACAGCATCGGATGGTTGTGTGTAGAATGACTGTTGTTGTGAAGAAGAGAAAAAGAGTAAAATCAGAGAAGAAGACCAGATGGTGGAAGATGAAGAAGGAAGAATGTTGTGAGAAATTCAGAGAGGAGCTGTTAAAGGTGGTAAGACAGAGCTTCCAGATGACTGGACTATACCATACCATACCATTTTATTTATAGAGCACTTAAAACAGCGCCAAGGCCAACCAAAGTGCTGTACAGACAGAACAACAGGTAACACACAAAGCAAAATACAAAATGA